TTTGTCTATATTGTAATTTAATTTAATGTATTCGAAGAAATTTTTTTGATCATCTACAATAAGTAAAACAAAAATATTAGTGAAATATAAATAAATTAAATTATCAAAATAATAATTCTAAATAAGTTATTGAAACAAAAAAAAATTCAACAAAATATGTTTGACGAGGATTAAATTTACTCATATGGAATTATTTTTTTTATACAAAAATAATAAAAAAATTAGATTCAATTTTTTTTTCATTTTCATTAGAGGAAAAGAGTATATGTGAGTCATTTATTTATAAATAGGGGTATATATGAGCGACTTTCATAACAAGGCGTATTTGAACATTTGAAGTTTTTGATACTTGGAATTTAGACTAGTCCAATAAAAGTTATAGTCCATAGATATTAGTAACTCTAATAAAAATCTTATCAATATTACTGTTAATAAAAAAATTAATTCAACACTAATAATGATAGTAATGTTGAATATACCCCTCAATTTTAATTTATAAGTTAACTTTACCCCTACTGTTAAAATGAAGTTATTTATACCCTCACTGTTAGCAAACTTGTCATATATATCCTCCAAACTAACGGTTATCCTAAATCGACCCCAAATTCTCAATTTCAATTAAATTGACCATTTAAAATTGGTTCCATCTTTTAATTTAGACCTGACCCACTAAATTAAATAATATTGTTGAGACTTCAAAGTTCTAGCTTTCTTCCTCAATGTGGTTCAAGATTTCTTCCTGAATGTGGTAAAAAACAGAGATTTTGTAGAGTCATGTACAAGTGAATATACATAAACTAACAAAAATGAAAAAGCTACTGCCATGGTACAAATTGTTTTTGTATAGATGGTATGAAAATGAGAAAACACCATTAGAGTATTTGATGGTGTTTCCTTGTACTTCGACAACCCTCGACTCTTCAGCGATCTCAACGGTGACAAATACAATTGTACATTCACATCTTTTCCTGCGCTGACGATCAAAAAGCAAGAGGCCAACACCCTTCTGCCTCACTGTTCCACCCCATCTTTTACACTATATTTTCTTTCATATTCCCTACTTTCAATCTTTCAATTTTTCATCATTGATTTGAACCAAAACCCCTAATATTTCAATTCTTTTAATCTCGAAAAACCATGTTCGTAATCAACAGGCAACAACATCGGTTCAAATCAATTTGTGCCGGTTTGGTGGAATCAGAGGAAGAGTAAGACGAACAGAACGTGCACTCGTCGGATCATAGAAAAAATAATAAAGAAAAAACAGAGAACGAAGAGAGTTATCCTTACCTGAGACATCCCGGTAACCTTTTTAATGAAGCATCAAGAATTCATTGTTCAAGTTGTTGAGAGAAAGAGAAGAGACAGGTTATGGGTCGGTTCTGGTTTGGCTAATGAATAGATTGTTTTTTATTGATTTGGAATTTCCGTCTAAATAAGAGTAAATACGACAAGTTTGTTAACGTTCGGGGTATAAATAACTTCATTTTAACGGTAGAGATAAAATCAATTAATAAATCAAAGTTGAAGTATATTTTTGACCATTTTTCCTTAATTTTATATTGATTAATACATTTAAAATGTAAGATCTAATTTTAATCATGTAATTAATACTTATTAGACTTATTTTAACATAATTTTGTATTTATAAAGAAATTGTGATTATATTCATTTTAACATTTTAATTTACAATTTATGCAATTTTATTATTATTTTTATTAAATATTATAATATCATCACTTAAATCATATTTAAAACATATATTAATTATACATTTGAGAAAAACCCAAACCACCACCACCCCTTCCCAAAAAAAGCACCCAAATTTTATTAATTTAATTAATTTATAATTTCTATAAAAATAATTTAATTTGATATTTGAAAAATTTATTTCCCGTTAAAGGTTAAATCCTACTGGACTGTTTCATTCACTCTCCAGTATCTGTGCTTCTTCTTCTTCTTCATATGAACAGAGGGAGCCGAGAGGTTGAGCGGAGGATTCTCCGGCTGCTCCACGGCCAAAAAACTCGAACCCAACTAACTCAAATCCATGCCCACATCCTTCGCCACCACCTTCACCACTCTAACCAGCTCATCTCCCACTTCATTTCCATCTGCGGTTCTCTTAACAGAATGCGTTATGCATCCATCATATTTCAACACTTCCAGAACCCCAGCATCTTCCTCTTCAATTCCATGATCAAAGGTTACTCTTTATGTGGCCCTTATCAAAATTCTGTCGTCTTCTTTTCCACTATGAAACGACGTGGCATTTGGCCTGATGAGTTCACTTTCGCCCCTTTGCTCAAGGCTTGTGCTAATCTTGTGGATTTGGAACTGGGGCAAGGAGTGCATAAGCATGTTCTTGCACTTGGGTTTGGCAGATTTGGGTCGATAAGGATTGGGATTGTTGAGCTGTACTCTGGGTGCGGGAGGATGACGGATGCGAAGAAGGTGTTTGATGAAATGCCTCACAGAGATGTGATTATTTGGAATTTGATGGTTAAGGGTTATTCTCAAAGTGGAAATGTGGATATGGGACTTGGGCTGTTTAGGCAAATGGGTGAGAGGACTGTTGTTTCTTGGAATTTGATGATTTCGTTGTTAGCGCAAAATGGGAGGGAGAAGGAGGCTCTGGCACTTTTCCATGAGATGAAGAATGGTGGTTTTGAGCCTGATGAAGCTACTGTTGTTACTGTGTTGCCTGTTTGTGCTCAATTAGGAGAACTTGATTTGGGAAGGTGGATTCATTCTTATGCTAAGTCTGAAGGTCTCTATCCCAATCTCGTATCCGTTGGCAATGCATTGGTTGATTTCTTTGGAAAATCTGGTGATTTGGAGACTGCAATTACTATATTCAACGACATGCCTAGAAAAAATGTAGTTTCTTGGAATGCTGCGATATCAAACTGTGCTTTTAACGGGAAGGGTGAATTGGGTGTACAATTGTTTGATAAGATGTTAGATGAAGGTGTGAGACCTAACGATTCGACTTATGTGGGTGCTTTAGCATGTTGTGCACATGCAGGTTTGGTCCACAGAGGGGGAGATTTGTTTGATTCTATGATTGCTAATCATGGTATAGAACCAACAATCGAGCATTATGGATGCATGGTTGATCTTCTAGGTCGTGGTGGCTGTCTAAAGGAGGCTCATAAACTAGTGGAAACCATGACAATGGAACCAAATGCAGCTATATGGGGTGCATTGGTTAGTGCTTGTCGCACTCATGGTGAAATGGAGTTGGCTGAATACGCGCTTAAGGAACTTATTAAACTTGAACCTTGGAATTCGGGTAACTATGTATTGTTATCCAATATTTATGCTGATAGAGGAAAATGGGAAGACGTTGAAAAGGTGAGAGTATTGATGAGCGGAAATAGCATTAAAAAAGCGCCAGGACAGAGCATAATTGTTTGATCATTTTTCGACTTCATTATATGGCTAATCCCTTAGCTGCATCTTTAAACTATGGGTGTTTGCTCCTTGCTGATAGATATGGTCCCTTTAATGAAGGGCTCTTCCTGATTGATCTGCTTTTCTGCAACTATATCAATGAATTCCCAAGGAGAAAGAAACATATTAAAGGGATTTTGACCTTTGAATATATGAAAGTGAACTGAACTAAAATTGGGAATTTCAAAAACTAGAATTGAAATTGAACCACAAGTTTGTATAAAGGGATTATAGTAGGCGTTTAGACATGCAATTTCAACTCATGAAATGAAACTCCAAATTTTCCAAAGTTCATGATTTGGGAATTTCAAAAACTAAAATTGAACCACAAGTTTGTATAGACAATCACACATATATATCTACAAACCATTAAATGAAATTTATAATTCATATCATTAGATTATTTCTCATTAACAGATAATTTTATTATTCTTGGGAACTTTTTTTTAAAAAATTAATTGCAGAAATGGAGATGCGGGGTATCGATCCCCGTACCTCTCGCATGCTAAGCGAGCGCTCTACCATCTGAGCTACATCCCCTGTTTATTCTTCTTATGTACAATAAGAAATCTAACTATCTGTCTCCCTGATCAAGATATAGGTGTAAAGGGGCAATAAGGTGTTTACCATAAGGGATTGATTGAATTATCTTATTAAGACAATTCATGGTTCATATGCTTAGTCAGAAGGAATAATCCAATGGAGTTCATGGATTTACCTAGGTCAGTGGAATCCACCGCTATTCCTTTCCTCCACCGATAAAGGTTCATCCCGAGTCACAAGCGCAATCTCTTTTTTTTTTTTCATTCTTTTTTCTTTTCGTTATGGCTCGATTCGATTGTTTTCCAAGAATGTTGAGCCGGGTATGTAAGCCATGTATCTGGGAGGAACAACAAATAAAACAATAAGCTGACATTTCACAAGCACTATGCACAGTTTTAATAGAATACAAACATAATATGAAATAGAAGAAATAGACATACTTTTCATTATAAATCTTTGGGTGAGTAATTTATTTGGGATGGATGCGTCCTAGTATAATAGAGTAAAAGACAAATCAGTTGGATTGAGGCGAAGTCCCTCTCCTTAGAGCTATAATAGCAAGACAACAGAGGTTAGATAACTCTTAACGAAGGAATAGGGTCTAGATCATACTAACTAATCCTTCTCCATCTCTCTCGAATGTAAGCTACGTACAAACATCACGTACCAAAATCTCAATCCTTTTTGCATCTCGAATGTAGGCTATTTCTAACACTACGTACCAGAATCTCAATTCTTTTGCATCACCGTAGAAGAAGAAAAGTAAACAATACAAGTATCTTTTTCCCAACCCATATATACAAATAAACTACGTTAACAATTTCGTATGTTTAGGCAGAAAGCTGCATTGATAGTAGTATATAAGCAGCCTCGCTGCAAGTTTGTTGGTAGATGAATATCACGTCTTCATTACTAATTGTATTTAGCAGTGAACTACCCCCACACTAATCAACTTTTTTTATCCAATAATTGGGAAGGAACAAATTAGAACACTTAACAACTATATATGAAAAGAAAAATGTAGACTAGACATATATAATAGAACACTGTTTTTAGCTGTTTCACTGAAAACCTGGGGAAAAACAGAAACTGTTTTAACCCATAGAGATAAACAGACATCTTCAACTTATCCAGTACAAAAACAAGACTTAAAACAGCAACAAATCTCACTCTCCCTAGACTTGATTACTTGATGTACTGAGACATCCACCTGAAGCCTTCCCCATAACCCATTTTGCGGACTATGCTGCACATGAACACCTCAAGTGGACGGACATTGGATTCTGCCAGGTTTACCTTCCCCTTGCCAGTAGTGACGCCTGTTAGCCCCAAATGGTAACGCAGTTCGTCTTCAGAGGCAGCATAAGGAATGTCTATCTTGTTACCCAATATAAGAAATGGCACAGTGGCCAAGGACTCGTCAGAGAGGAGAGCATCCAGCTCTTTCTTAGACTCGGCAAACCTTTCTTTGTCATAGGAATCCACCAAGTATACAACAGCATCCACCTTTGTTACAAAAGCACAACACCAGAAAATTGTCAAGTAGCACTTTGTATTTCATAGAGAAGATACATGATCAAATTTCCATTTTCTAATTCTAGATTTTGCAGGCAAATGCCTTAGGACTAGCAAACATTATTTCATATGGAGTCATTTATGCCATGCATTTTTTAGAAATCCAGAAAACAAGTATGAATAAGGGTCATTAACAAAGGAATATCAGCTGTGATTCCCTCTCTGCTGTTTCTGTTGAATGTCTTTATTAGATATGCCCGTTTGACAAGCTTCAAAAGTACATCATTGCAAAACAGTGAAATAGTACATACTTGGCTGTCTCACATACAAACTAATACTACATCAGAACAGTTATTCTTCAATTACATAATTTCTCTTCCATCTTAAATCAGTAAATGTCAATTCTGAGAATGGTACCAATAACAACAACAATGGAACAAATTAGTGAAATTTTATATAAGAGATTTAAACAAGATATAGAGCTAACTTTGTTCCGACATGGATAAAAGATATTAAGCTAGTTATTTTGAAGAGAATTATAAGAAAGCAGAACAGAAAGCAACCGGGAAGAGTAATTTTTCACGTCTATATTCTACACCAGAACTTCTTTACACATTGCAGATAAAATGGCTGCAGCCAGTCAAAATCTGTTCTTTAGGTGGCTAAAACATAAAAACCACGAGATCTACTATACCTATCTTATCCATATAAAGATTGGTAAAGAACTTCCTAAATGAAGCTATGCATAAACAAAGACAAATTTGTGTGTATGAAGAGGTACTATTGAAACACCCCCTGGAAAATAGAAAGGTGCTATCAGCGAACTCCCAATATCAATATATGCCTCCCATGAATCAAATAAACAGATGGAAGTTCATTTGGGATTATGAAGGCAATAAGCAACGACCTAGAAAAAAAAAGTTAATAAACATTGTACTTGTAATAATACATGAATATCAAATTAACAACTTGAGTTACCTGAATTTAAATTTATATTAGCTAAAGTATTCTTTGCAAGAAGATTGGAGAACTACTTAATACATGTTGAGGACATCTATATTGATATCATGACTTCTTGTAAAACATCGTAAACATTTCAAAATCCTCAAAAATAGAAATCAGGAATGAAGATTGAGCAGCTAGAGTAATACTATTTCCCTGAAAACAAAGAGCAGTTCATGAGTACGCATAACAACCTGTAGCGTACTCAATAGATGAAATCCCAATCAACTTTTCAATTTTAAGACTATGTTAATCATCATCACTACATAAATCTTAACACACAAACACTAATGGCATATTCCAGTAAAAATGATAACTTAGCAAGTGCAGAATCAAAGAGCACCACTGCTTAACAGAATCCCAACCAGGTACCAACCAATAAATACCACCCAAAAAACAAATAGTATACTGTTCGCAAGTCAAATATCTAAACTAAGACAACAAGAGAAAGAAATAGCAACACACCTTAGCATAATAATCTTTCCAAACACGGCGAGCAATCTGATGACCACCCAAGTCAAATGCTTTGAACTTGATCTTTCCAATACTAAGCTCCTCTGACGTTGGGTATTGTGTTGGCTGATGTTGAACCAATCTCTGCCACAATTAAAATAAACCTCAATCTCAGATTCGAGATTACAAGTAACCAATAGCAGAAAAAACAGGCCTTTACAAACTAATCAAACTTGTAACTCTTTCCCCATAAAGCCACATCAAGGAAAATTCAATTTCAGGTGAAAAATTGGAGAATTCTAAAAATCGATTCTCATACAAATAATCACATGTAAATTAAAAAATTAAAGTAAAACATAGAGAAAACGGTAAGAGACCTCATCTTTCAACATATGGAGCAAGGTGGTCTTTCCGGCATTATCGAGACCCAAAAACAAGATCTTCGCCTCCTTCTGCCATAAACCGAGGGTTGCGAGAATTCCATAGAACCAATCTACCAAGAACATCGTTGATCCGGTTCGCTTATCCTCCGATCCGAAAGAACCCAATCAGAGCCCTACGGATTGATCTAGGGCTACAAATCTGTAAAATTGATTGAAGGAGAAGTGCTTTGATGTCTTCTCCTCCTCGAAACGCTAACACCTGGCTGGCGTTGGAGAGAGACAATTAATGGGGTGAGGTTTGCTTTTTGTCTTCATATATAAGTGCCCAACCCTAGTCAACCTAACACCCCCTTGTCGATGTATTCTTTCTTTATTTATACATCTACAAAAAAAAAAAATCATTTACTTTTATTTATCATCTATTTTTAAAGTAAAATTTCTACTTTTAATTATCACAATACTCATATACAATATTCATATCAATCAACACCCATATAATGTTATTATAATCCCCTCCCTTAAAAATACCGAGCACAAGAATCAAACACATCTACTTTTTGGTGGAAATTGGATCCACCCAATTTTATATAATAATCTAATTTACTCATAAAAAAAAAATGTGTCGATAAATTATTCTTTATTTTCAAAGAAGAAGAGATAAAATATTTGATATCTAAAAATATGTGTATATTTGATATTTCTTTTATCATATAAAGGTATATTTTTTATTATAACACATCAATATTATGTCTAATAATAAAGACGAAGAATTAATCAAGCGTTTGACAATAGATTTATAAATATTTTTGGTAAATATTATTTGACTGAAATTACATCATATGTTTGTTCATGATATTTGGGAAACATATTTCACTTATTTAAAAAATATAATTTGTACTCGTAAGTTTTAAAAACTATTAAGATTAATTATAGATTTGTATTACATAACAAGATAGAGATGTCATTGTAATAAGATTCCGCAATAAGTCAGTTGGATCTTTATTGCAACAAATAATAAGTAATGTCCATGACACTAGAGCAATGTGATAATTCTGAGCGAGTGCAACAATCATTATTCTATACATCATAAAGTCATAAGTCATTGTTCATCAACAATCATATATCATTTTCATATTCCATCATTACTTTGTTGTTCACGTAAAAAATTATGTAATACAGCGCAATACAACAACTAAATAGAGTGTTTTTGCAAAAGATAAAAATTAGATGTAGAATTTGAATTTTTAAAAGCTCCTAAATAATAAAAATTGACCTAAATACTATTTTTTCCTAGTATTTGGGAGTATGGATTATTTGCTAAAAATATTTGTCAAATAATAATAAATTGTATGGACTATCCAATTTTTTCCCCAAATTTTACTTGGGAAATTTATGGCTAAATGGGTCCTAAGGGTGCTCTTCAATTCATTTTTTTTGGCTAAATGGGTCCCAAGGGTGCTCTTCAATTCATTTTTTTTTCATTTTCTAACGACTCTTGTTTCCGCTCCATCTTTGTAAGCTGTTGTGTTTAACAACATTATATGAAAGCATATTTTGCGCAATATCAAGACAAATGCCGCATTCCTTTTCGTTACTCAATGCATGAGTGAGTGATTATAGCATAGAGGTTACAATACCCTCACAGAAAATTATTTTACCAGTGCAACCAATATATACCACAAGCTTAAACGCTAATAAACTAGAAAACAAAATTGTTTCTACGCCAAATTCATTTAGGCAACTAACTAATGTATGCGCGCACTTGCAGAAAGGTTGAGCAAGAAACTGCTTTCTAGACTATTGCACAACACAACATGTGAAAATCAAGTCCACAAGCTCCAATCAGAAACTTATGCAAAATCATATAAATTATGAATCCATCACAGCGACTCCTTGAAACTTAAGCTGCAACTGGCTCAGCCGCTGGACTAGAAGTGTTAGCTTTAACCTGCCATCCAAATGTACATATTATTGCAAAAGCTGAAAAACCCTTTTCAGTTATATACGACCCCCGTAAGAGACAACAGGGAGGGGGGTGAATAAACTATCCAGTTTGTCTTTGTGCGTAATATTTTGTGAGAATAGATGATCTAATTATACCAGTTAAAAATGAGAGAGAATCTCAGTTCACAACCTAAGGAGGACTTCCTCCCTACCTGCAATTTTTACATGCACATGTGTGAGGGACACTTCTGCAAATACCTGGTAGACAGCTTACGACTTCCAATTAGAGAACAAGAAGATCTAAATACACTAAATTTAGGGATTAAAGAGCCAATGGTATTTTGGAGAACCCAGGATATCCCACCACCTACCGGAGCATCTTGACAAGGAGATGACTGTATTCCTTTCTTTGGTGTCTCTGGATAATTATTGGTATTCTAATTCATGGGGAAATGAACTACGTTATTCTCTAGAAAACTACAAAATTACCCGCAATAACAGGGAAGCGAGACATTACCTTTGCTGCCTTAAAGAGTTCATCTATCACTTCAGACAAGGTTGGATGCGCATGAACAGCATACTTGATGTCCTGCAAGATGCAAAATGATAAAGCAAAATGCGATAATGTTGCTAAAACTGTAACTGGCATATATTTTCTTTTACACTAGAATCATGATGCTGGAATCCAGCTGAAGATCACAATTGATTGCATAAAAAGAAATAGAATTTCGTTATTGAAAGAAAACATGACCCTTCCATCATTCCACCCTCAAAGCAAAAAGTAAAAAATTGGAAAAAAAATAAAATCTTATCCAATACCAAAAACCTCTAACCAAATCAGTTAAAAATCTTTCCATTTGTGAGGGGAATATATGTATCGAAGGTAATGTCTACCTGTATACATGTTTATCTTATGAGGAAAAAATGCATTGGAACTTAATGTCTACCTGTATGCGTGTTCCCAGAGCTATGGCGTTGGATGCTTCATGAATGAGGTCAGCAGCATGCATTCCAAAAATGTGAACACCGAGGATCTCCCCACTGTCGGGTCTATATATCAACTGCATTGGACAAACATTTCAATGAGCAAAAACAATCCTACTAGTCTTGGGAAACTAGAGAGACTAAAACCACCCAATTTAGAAACAAACTGCAAGAAGTAGCTTGTAATCATATACTAGTCCATGAAAAAAATCAATTAGAAAAGATCATCATGGCCACCTTTGCAAGTCCCTCCCCTTCATTTTCAGCAAGGGCTTTTGTGTTGGCCTTGAAACTAGTCTTGGCTATACCAATCTCAAAGCCCTCCTTTTCAGCTTTTTCTCTGGCTTGAGGCTGCAAGATTGCAAGAAAATAATGAAAATTCATAACTAAGAATAATGCAGCCCGTAATAAAAAAGACGGATTGAATGTTAACAAATTAGAGAAAGCGGAATTTCAACAATAAATATAAACATGCTTCAGCGAGTTTGCATACGCATCAAGTGTATGTAGGAGCATAAAATAGGCAAACTTGCGTGAGTTTCAACATACTGTATCAGACAATTATACAAGCAGACTCATTGACCCTAACTTGTATTTAATATATGCTGAACATCCTAAAAATGCGAAAGTGTTGTTGCAGTAAATTTTTCTTCTGGTGCTATATAAATGAAATGACACAATGTTTAAAGAGCAAATAATCCAAATGCAACCAGTTAAGAAAATGTAAAAGGAAACACAGACTATACACCAAAAAACGTTACTATACCTCTGTTAATCCGACCATACTGATTTCAGGATGGGTAAAGCATGCAGCTGGAATACTTAAATGATTCAGGACATGGTCCTTGCCAGTAACTTGCTCAACAACTATAGAAGAAGTAAGTACAAATGTTAAAATTACAGGACAACTTGCTTGATGATAATCAAAGCAGTTGGTGTCACATGAGATCGTTACCAGAGATCCCTTGTGCACTTGCAGCATGTGCAAGCATCATTTTTCCATTTGCATCACCAATGCAATACAAGTGGGGAACCTAGTGACAGAAAGCCTAATGAGTTGAAAGAAAATTGTCTAGAGTACGTAAAGAGAAGAATAATCATGCCTACCAACTCTCCGCTGGCATCAATGACACGCATGCGACTATCAACAGGAACAAATCCACGTTGTGTTTGAACATTTATCTGTTTATAAAACAATAATATGAGATGTCATAACATTTATAAAGTTTGTCTCAATAAACATTCACGCCACTAACATTTTCCAGGCCAAGTCCTTGAGTGAATGGAGCCCTTCCGGTTGCAATTAGAGCAGCATCTACCTGTAGCAGAATAAAATAATTTGAGAACATATAATATGCTAGTGACAAGAATTGTGTATGCAGAGGAGTATATAAGTTGTGGAAAACAAGATCTTAAATCAGATTACAGGGAACAAGACAAAGTTTTTCTCCCTCTTTTGATGTTCATTAACACTACTCAAAAAGACCTACCTGCATAGTCCCTTTTTTCCTCTTGCCTAGTTTAAAACGATGTGTTGAAAGAAGGTTGATTAAATTGATACAGTTTACCAGTTGTAAAATTATCCAATACCATAGACTTATGCTGTGCACTATCACAATGTGCTTATCAAGTGTATATCTTGCAATAAAGTACCTATAAGACAGACCAATCCAACTGTTGTTGTTTTTCGATAAACAGGTAAGTCCAACAATGTCTACTTAATGATGAATCCCAGTCTTTAGATTTATTAATTTGTTTACTGTTGGATATGATTTAGAATTTATTATCTTAACCAATAACCATGATCTAAGACCAAAAGGATAAAGCTTCCATCAAAAGCATGAATGTGAAATAACAATGTTAAACTCTTTTGGAAGAAAAGCGACAACTTACTTCCAATGTATCCTTCAGTTCCTTAGTCTTTGCATCAATAAGCTCAATAGTCACTGGTTTTCCATCCTTTGCTGGAGTTATCTGAAGAAGGTGCAACAAAATTCAGATAACTGATTGGTACATCGGGATGCAGGCTACTATTTTCATAAATTACCTTGCTTGCAAATACACCTGTATGATAATCAATCTTTCGAGGATTTATGAGGACTCGCTGTGCCAATTTCCCAATTTCGGGATCAAAGCCGGGCATGAGTTGATCTAAAGCCTCAACAAAGGTAACCTGCACAATTATCCAGTGGTCAGCATAGAAAGACATATTTTGAAAGAAAAGATTGATGTCCTGTTGCTACAGATACAGTCTTGCAGAAAGTATTATTGCCTTTACCTCACTTCCAAGTGCCGTATACACATCACTGAATTCTAGTCCAATGTAACCACTTCCAACAATAGCAATCCATTGAGGTACAAATTC